GCTTTACAGAGTACTGAAAAAAACATGGAAGGAAATAAGAATATCTGAATACATGACAACTGGGGGAAAGGCTTCATCAAAGCCATGATACATCCAAATCTGTTACTGTATCAAAATCCATGATTTATTCAGATGACATCATTATATGTGACAGAATAAAATAACTTTGGTAATGAAATTTCATAAAGTCATTACAATGTATAGCTTTTGAAATAAATGTCAATTTAGATAAATATATGATATGTAAAATCCAAAGGACAGGAAACACAGGAGAGATAGAATAAAATAATAATGAAATTAAGAAAGTGGAGAATTCTAAATACTTAGGAAGCAAAACAGTGATAATAGCAGAGCACAGGAAGAAATTAAAAAAAAAAATGAATGAAAAAAAGCAGAAAAACATAACCAGTTAGTTATAAATATACTTCGGAAATGGGAAACGCAAGACAGGAAAGGTATTCTTAAAAATTATGAAATGCAGATTTATAAACTGAGTTGAATGATATTAAGTATGAAATACAGTGAACCTCCTATTTAAGGTTTCTTTTGTGAACTGTGGATCTAAACACTAAACTGAGTGAAATCTTAAATAGAAGCAATTATACACTGACATTATTCACACCGGATCAATGAAACTGAGCATTAATGAGGGAAATCTTTACACAGGAACGTTAAATGGGAGTTACATTGCTCCATTGGTTCATGTGGATTGTGTGATCAATCTGATGTCAGCCCAGTTTGGAAATTTCTTGTATTTGAATTCTGCCTATCAGTGAGAAAGTCAGCAGGTTTCGAGATTGATTGGTTTGATTTGGTTCTATATTTTTTTATTGTTTCATGAAAGTTCCTTCTTTTCTGCATTACACTGCTCAGTCTGGTTGTCTCTTAAAATTGGACACTGTGTTGGTTGTTTAACACTACTTATTTACTGGCGAATTACATCCTCTCATTTTTGAGATGCCTGTAGCATTTGTTTGGTGGACTTTATCCCTGTTAACAGGCAAATTTAGGTTTTGTTATCCTGTGGTTTGTGTCATAACTTGAAATGGCATGTTTTTCTTATCTCTCGTTATATGCCCACCCCTGAAGGAGGGAACTTCTGCTGCTGCTTTAAGGTTCTTTCTAGTTACTGACAAATGTAACCCTATATACATGAACTTCAGTTTCATTTTCTTGTGGTTTATTCATTATGCTTACTGGAAATATTTCCTCATTTTGAGTTCATTTTTTATGTTAACAGAACACATACTACACTTTGAATTTCTTTCTGATCCAGTAAGAACCTGTCCTCACCTACATTTGATGACAACAGACGTTGTGATAAAAAAAAGGTCAAGATGGACAATGTTCAAAATGTCATGCTTATTTCTACATGCTCATTTTAATATATTTAGCAGAAACAAAGCAACAGAAAAAGGCACATATTTGTAGACAGCAGCTCAGATGAGATTATTAAGAATCGTAGAAGGAAAAATTGGAAGGGACAGTAAGGGGAAAGAGCAGAGAATACAAAGATAAGTTAATATATAACAGAATAAGATGGTAAGGGCATATTTTTTTACCTCTATCATCTGTGCATTGCAGACCTAGCATTGCACTGTTTTCAAAATAAGTACTACTGTCATTATGTTAAAAATCTGCCCTATGAATGGATGCAGAGAGAATCCTAAAGGGTTTAAGTAAGAAAATAAAAGGACTGTACCCAAGGGGAAAGATTTCTTTATCATAACCTGACTACACTATACTTTCCCTCGATTTTCTGCAAGCAATGAACTTAACAGTACAGTAAACCCTCACTAATTTGGGTTAACTGGGGGAGAGGTCATTCAGATTAACAAAGAAAAAACTCAGAAAGAAATATATGGAAAATTTAATAATACGGGTAGTGTTGACAAAAATAAATACAAAAATATCACTACAGCAATTTCTTCCTGTCACCATATGTGTGAAAAGTGGCCTCGCCCGAGAGGACATAGACTGAATGACCCCGCTTAGCCCCAGCCTGTGGTGGTGTGGTGCTAACAATTCTAGAATTCATGTCACAAAAACTTTTGACAGATTTTGCGCTAATTTTTTTAAATATACCAACTCTGTGACTAAACGGCGAATAAATATGCATAACTAAAACTTGGAGTTCTTTATTGGACACTCTGTATAAGTGACGAGGAAAACTAGAGCCCCAACATGTCACTGTATTTCACAAGAATAAATGCACATTCTCTACTTACTTTTGCATCAGACGGTGGTTGAAGTGGCACACCATCTAGTTTATGATACTCCACAAAACTAGAGCTGTAAAAGGAAGAACTTTATTATCATTTTAATTTTTTAATACAATGCACACTCTTACTTCTGTAGCCTCCAAAATGTGAATACTATAAGAACAATCAGAGAGAGAATTTCAGATGAAATTATTCCACATAGGATTATAATTTTTATAACATGAGCTGCTTCAATACAAGAGCAAAATTTATCTCCGTCTGGTCCTTAAGCCTCTTACTGTCAAGCCCATGAGGTCTGACAAATGATGAGACTGGCAACACTGTCTGCAATCTGGCCTCAAACTTACACGGTAGCAAACCGGTCTTTAGAAGTCCAGCAAGTGCACATCTGTTGTGCTCTAACTGAAATTGTGTCTGGATTCCAATTTCTGCATTCTCACTTCACCATCTCTGTGTGACATGGTCCATGTTTTAAAATTCACACTTTGAAGGCTCTTTGTCTTTTCTTATTATTTATTTAACACTACATGTTTTGGTCTAACTGGCCATCATCAGGTATATAAGACTGTAGATAAAAACTGCTGAACTGTTGTTATGCTGTTGTATTTTCAAAGTTATTTTTTAGATTATCATGCCATGGTTACTTCTGTTGTGCACATTTGTTGTGGGTCTGCTGTATGTCTTTTGGTGTGTTGTTTTTTCCTTTGTGTTGTGTCCAACAGAACACCGAGATCTTCAAGGCATTAGAGAAGTGAGAGAATATTGTTACGTAAACTGTAATTAAAGTTAATACTGCTAGTTTCGTAAGTAATGGATGTAATCATAATTTTGGTTAAATTAAGCCTCATATCAACAACTCCGTGGATTTAGTCTGCAAGCGAACTAAGCCTCTTATAATTTTCCAAAAACCAATTTTGCACAGAATCAATATCTGACTGCTAAGGCCTTGTCCTTAACATTATTAATACTATGAAAGATCTTCAAGTCATCAACAAACAATAAGTAATTTGAATTCTGAAAACAATCACATATATCGTTAATATACATTAAACACAACAGAAAATGGTATTAAATTATATAGGTCAAATCAATAGCACATCTACGAGGAAAATGTAAAAGATCATAATTGTTTGCCGACTGAAAAAATTTTGGGGACTGTCTTTCAATTCACAGCTGTTCTATTATCACCAAATTTTTTTGCTTTAATGATGAGCTTACCTAACTCCTACACTGGTACCATAACCTTCTCTAACAACCAAAGCATTGATGCACACATCAACATTGGCTTGTGACTCATACAATGTTACTTTCAGCTGATGTTTCTGCACCACATCTACATAAAGGCAAAGTATCTTCTTGGCTGTCACCTTCATCAGGTACTCCTTTACAGCAGGTGTCCAATGCTGCTCACTTGGTATAATGTCACTCATGGAACAATGAACAGCCTAGAAAATGCAACCTCTTTATTTAATGCACATGGAAAACTCTTCAGTCTTCAAATTTTATTATTAATATTGATGCCTTGGAAGGCAAAATACAAACTCTGCTCATATCATCATAAATTATGTGGTGTTCAGAATCTATCTTTGCACAGCTGTAGGACCCTTACTCTTTCTTTTCACTCATTTGAGATGTTTTCAGTTAACTGGCACGTTACTCACCCATAGTGAAACATCAGAGTAAGTATGACTTATAACAAGTACTTCATTACAGCAATAGAAACCATCAACTTATTAACATTGTACATACAGAAAACCATCACATAAAACACGATATTTTTTCCCCAAGCCATCATCATAACAAGTGATACTTAACTAGCTGCCATTGTTTTCAATTAACTTTTTGCAACAACTATGCTTGCAATTTTACTTCACAAGTTATATATGACCAGCAGTCTGTGAAGGCCCCATTAATTCACATTCCAAAATCTGTGAGAAGCTTACCCAAAGTAACAACCACTGACAAATGTACATCACACGAAGCCCACTACACTCTGAAGTATCTCCTCCTCAAGCATGTTTCCCCTTCCCCTGAGCTTCATCTGGCCTAGTTGGGATGATGTAACAGAACAGAACTATATAGGTGGATGTTTAAAGGTTTTGTCATATCAAACACCTATTGTGTTTCAGTCAGCACCAACTGAAAAATTTTGAAAAACTCAAATTATGGCAATGAAACAGAAGCACTTAGACTTGAATATGAGCTGAAATAATAAGTCTGTGCGAAGTTGTCAGCTCATCAAGAAACTAGATAGGTGATATGGATCAAGTTCTTTATTTTGGAAGAATTTTTCTGTGCATTTCAATTTCTGCTTCTGGTCATATTTCTGCCCATAAAATTCTGTAGAACACCATAAATATTAATATATAGTGGTTTCTAACTCAGTTTCTGTGATCAGATCACCATTCATCTAAGCTCACAGTTCTCAATCATCAGCTCACCCGCTTCTAAACTTTCTGCTGGCCTAGATGTAGCTTAAGAGTCTGGGCCTCGTAGATGATTGTAACTCACATCTTCAAATCCTTACCCACTCACCCCACCCAACACACCAGAAGCACTCACATATCCACTGTCAATTAGATAAGCTGCAAGAACCTTTTTTCTGCTTATTCTATTTCACATGAGTCACAAAATACTTGGCAATGCAAAGTTTATTATTTTGTACATGAAATAATTGCATAAGATATGATAAAGACATATGGTCACTGTTATTAAAATAGTGATATGAAACAGAAAAACAAAAATAAGCTGCAAAAATATTATTTACAGTAAAATTTTGGCTGCAGAAGGCACAAGAGAGGAGACCCAAGGCTTGGGGCCAGGCTGAAGTCAAGCTTCCTCATGCTATAATTCCTATGCTCCTGCAATTACCTAACAATGCTATCAACCATAAACAAACAAAACTCCACGGTTCTAGTCTGCAAGTGAACTATACCGACTGAGAGACCGCCGCTTGTCAGCGAAGTTAGTGCCAATTTTAGTGGACAGAGGGTGTTGCCTGGTCAGCGCTATGAATCCCCACTGCCATTAATTTCGATTTTCTAGACTGGAGCCGCTATTTCCTTAAAATAGGTCCTCAATTATCCTTGCGAGGCTGAGTGGACCCCGTTCCAGATGCACTACGTCTCAGAAAATCTGGTAGTGCCGGTAATCGAACCCGGATCTCTAGATCTGTAGCCAGGAACTCTGACCACTAGACCACAGAGGTGGTCTGCTATCAACCATACCTCCACAATTTAAAAACTTCAAGTACCATTCTGTTATTAACTATATCTACTGGCAATATATACTGCTACATCATCATTCCAAACACAGCAACACTTTACTGGCATTCACATTAATGCTGTCAATTTTTATGGCCCTCGCACAATTTGACTATATATATTTTAACTCCCCCTCGTTGGTGGCTCCAATGAGGGGGAGATTACTGATGAATGAATGAATATTTTAACTACTACATTTTTTCTGATTAATGACACATATATCCTTTGTTTATGAAAGTTGTACCAATGAACTTACAGTGTTCTAAAAAGAATATTTACCTGTGCAGGTATACGCAGGAATCTTGGCTGTAGTCTACGAATCTGATTCCAAGCCACCAATTCCTGATTGCCATAGTCTACATAGAACACTTCTACCATCCTTTTACCTGGAAGTGCTATTATCTTCGCTCTGTACCATTTCTTATCTACAGTATATTGTGCAGCACATGGCATTCCTGGAAGAAGAGGAAGATATACTGGATATAAAATGACGCTAAATTCTTGCAGCAATCACAGCAATCTCTAAGTGTTAATACACACAACTCTGATCCACTTTAATGGTGCTCAGTATAAGATATAAGAAAGGTGTGCTTTGGGCTACAGTTTAGAGGTGTGTGCAGCAGACACAAATTATTGATGTAAATAGAGAAAGATTTTGGAATACACAACATATCACATGGTACAAGCCATAGTGATATGTGAAGTTACTATATTGAAAGATCATTTATGGATAAATGACATAGTCCTTCCTCTATTGTTAAAATGATTAGAATACCATTTAAACTTTTAAACTTCTCCCATGCACCTTCATGGTGCAGTGTTTAATTAGGTAAGCACAGGGACAACTTTACCTTTGCTATTTAACCTATGAGGAAGAACAGAAGTAGACAATACACAGAAGAATATGAATGTTCAAGAAGTCCCAGTCTAACTATCCAGTACCTCTACAGTTATAAAGTATTTAACCTGAACAGACACCATCAAAAATAAAGTCTATGGATCATGACACAGTAAGTGCTTTTTTTTTTGTCTTTCTCTGTTTGTAGAAAGGAAGTGTGCCCAACCTCAAACAACATTTATAATATGATATGCAGTTTTGTTGCCCCATCTGGAGTTGGCTGTCTCCCATGGGGTGCCTCCCCAGGTGGCGGATAGGGGAATGCTCATCACCTATATGGGTGGAGGGTACCGGGGAAATAAAATACCAAGGGCAGACCAAAACCGCCACTGCTGTCCCACAGCTGTAGCAGGAAATACAGGGGCTAGGGGTATGGGTCCCCAACAGAAAAAACCCTGGTCCTCCTGGCATGTGCTTCTATGCTGAAGGATTAACGGCACTGCCAATAGCTCAGATTATATAGTGTTTGAATAATGAACAATGAACTTGAAAGGATTTGGAAGAAGTGATCATCACATAATTTGAGATACTATCTTGGCACCAGCATGGTGGGACTGATGGAAACCATTAAAACCTCATCAATGATAGTGTGTCCCCAGGCCAAGGATTGAATCTGGAACCTCCTGAATACAAAGCTCATGTGCTATCCAGTTGACCACAATGCCAAAGTGTCATTATGCAGCATTATGTAGTTTATCGCTGTGAAGGATTAATCAACAATTGGCATTACTTCTGGATGAGATGTGATGGGGAAGATTATATGTCCTGTGGGGAAATGATATGTTGGACGAATTTACTGTCTCCAGCTTCAGAATGTATGTGCAGCAGAACAGGATGTATGCAGCAGCACATGTGCATGTGCATGTACACAGGAAGAAATCAACCACTAACCATTTTAGAATCAATCTCAATAATTGATAGGCCATGTTAATGCAACTGCAATCAGTAAACGGGTATATGTGTTAACTCTTGCCCTCTTCATTTATATTAGGAGAACAGGAGCAATGAGCTTCTTTGAATATCACAAGTTTCTTATAAAACAACATGGTTCTATAACTCAAAAAAACATATTACACTGTAAAGAACACAAAATTCATAATAGAAATGTAATTCCATTATGACAACTTACCAACTTGCGGAGTATAGATAAGTCCTATGTTTGCAGATTTTGTATATTCTGTATTCATATCCTTCATCACAGAAGTCAGGTAGCGAGCATGCTCTCCTAGCTAGTAAGCAGAAAGCATACACTTCACTACAAAGATTCTGCCATATTGTCAACATATCTGGGTCATTGTGGTATTCTTTATATACAAGTACCAGACAAAAATTAACTGCACATGCTTTATGTTATGAAACAGCACACTGCTAGTTTATACTAAGCCAGAAAATATGTATAAGCTGGAGATAGTTCAGTAAAGTAATATCTAAGTGCTAGAGACCAGATTTTGATTGTGTGAAAAGGCAAGGACTTCCCTGTTCCCCACCTTATCCAGCTGCCCACCCAATAGATACAAGCGCTCTTTATCCAAAGGTAAAGTGAACACAACATGACAGCGATCACCCCCCTCCAACTAGTGCTGAAATCCACTTCTCCTGAACAGCAGTCTCCTTTACAAAATCCATTCATGTGTGCCAAGATTAAGAATCTGATGAGCTTTATCTTGAGCCCATCTATATATATTAATGGCATGGTATTTATGAACAGGGAGAACCAGACATTTAATTGCAAGAAATTATGCCGAGATGCCGATTTATTTTCTTTCAGCTGGCATGGCATTTTTTTATGTTATACTTTTAGCCCTACAATGTAATTCTATATACACTTTGCTTGCTTGTAGGGGGAAATGATGTATTTTCATCTGTCTGCATATTATAACTCTAATCTGTTAAAAACATCTGATTAAATTTTGTACTGCATATTTCGGCCTATACAAAATTTCTTTGACTGAATTTAATTTTTATTTCATCAGTCCAAAATAATTCCAGATTTAAAAGATCACAAAGTACTTTATCAATAATCCCACAAATGTCTCATTTTATAGAAAACTGGTTCATATCATAAAGTATAGCTTCTGTTAAAATATTTAACTTCTGTCAGAAACATTTTGTTGATTAATATACAAGGTGATTCACGAAGTTTTACCCCGGCTTATGGTACATATTCCTGGGGCTATTTCCTGCAAAATTTCCTATAGGTAAACAAGTTTTGAATATACCACTATATGTCCATGGGAATATAACAACAAGATTGCAACAGCTGACTTCATGATATACAATATCACATGAGTCTTTAACCATATTTTATTCCATAACTTTCGTTTTATAATAATTTTATAATTCACTATATTTTTATACCTTGTATTTTATAATAAAAGTTATCAAGTATCCACCTTTACTATCACAATGAAATTGGAGTTCAATAGTGCGTGAATATAGTAATCATGTGTTTTGTCGGATGATGGCTTTACAAGCTGAAACATGTAGCTAAGGTAATGTTAACCTTGACCGTTATGTTGCTGTGTTATGATGGACTCCAATAAAGAATTGAATAACTACAATGTTCATCATAATCATTTCATTTAACTTTGACTGTCCTCAAACTATTCAAGCTTTCAGTTAAACTTACTTTGGGACCTTTCATTCCTACCACATAATTAAATCCTCATTCAACCCATGAACAATCACGCTGACTTCTATAACATGTGTGACAATTACACTCTCTCACTGCCTATCTTAAACTTTTGGACTGCATAATTTCTGCTAATGGGACTTTTTCTTTGGATTTGATAAGGCTAAAGTGGCTGTCCCAAAAGCGACCTCTACCTTCTTATACCACTAAATAATCATGAGATGGATATCTCACTCACTGACAGTAACTCAGAACTGAGATGATCCTGAACGAGAACACTGATGGTGGGACCACAGTGGGACCTGTTAGTCTAGCTCTACAAAAGGAGGGGGTGGTTAAGAGGGAAAGCACAGCAATTGAAACCCATCACAGAGTACATACCCTTTGTACGTAGAAACTATGAGGTGAAACAACATGGCTCATAACAACATCCACAGCATCTCCCTTTTTGAAATCTTTCTCCTCGAAGTATTTCACAGTTCTCTGGGGTAAAGTAACCTGTATTGAACAATGAAAAGGTTACTAATTACTTCACAGATACAACTTCAATAATGAAAAAGTATCATTAAGCCCCTGAAAAGGCAGGGTTGCTGATGGGATACATAAAGTTAATTCAGAGTGTTATTGGTCATGGAGGAAGGGCAACTGGACACCCAACCCTTTCTAGTTTAATTCAAAGTCTAATCTCAAGAAGCAAAACACATAATGACTTATCATCCTTATTACCAGAACATGTGTACAGGAGATAAACCTAATGTGAAAACAATGCAAATAAAGACTCTTTTAATGTCTTACCTCTCTTACAGCAAGAGGAAGCAAAATATAACTTTCCTTACCTTTCGTTCTGTTTGAGCTACAAAGCAAGCAAACTCTAGGAAAACAAGGGCATCTCGAACAGATACAGGAACGTCACTATTCTCGGCATTTCCAGGAAGCTGACACAGATCTACCTGGTATGTGTCAGCACTGTGCTCCATTATAACCATTCTCACACGATGCCTGGTAAAAGAGTGACAGTGAATAAGGAAAGCATGATTAACTCAATCAGCAGAGTCCTTCTTGAGAGGCTAACAGTCACTCAGAGAAGAAATCACCCACCTTCTATGGAATGTAAAGGTTCATTCCCACATACATAAGAGCCCAATTTGGTCCACATGTAGAGCCAAATTAATCCAGGTAACATCTCCCAACTTCTGTCCCACCTATGCCTAGGTCTTCCAAGTGGGGTATTCCAAACAAAACTTTTTATTTCATATCTCTTCCATGCATGCTTCATAAAACACCCAACTCATCCACTTTCTTGTTCTTGAATACCCTCAACCTATTTTCTTTGCTTAATATATGACTGGGATAGCAGTCAGTATAGCGACTGGCTACAGGCTGGACGACCGAGAGGTCAGAGCTCGAGTCCCAGGAGGGTCAAGAATTTTCACTTCTCTATGTCATCCATGACTGGCTCTGAGGTCCGCCCAACCTCCTATACAGTGGGTGCTCGGGACACTTTACCTCTGGGGCGTGAAGCTGACCACTCACCTCCAACTACTGTTGAGGTGAAGAAAATGTGGATCTATACATCCACTCTCCCATATGTCTTCATAGCGTAGTGCTTAGTTAGTTAAGCACAGGGACAACTTTACCTTTACCTTTTAATACATGAGACCAAGTTTCAAACTCACACAAAACAAGCATAAGACTACACTTTTACCATTTACTTCTTTGTGAATACAATTTTGACTTTTTATTGTTGCTCTCAAATATTTGATATTTGTCACACTATGAAAAATGTACTAGCTACCTTTATTTTATGATTTTGTCCTGCATCCTAGTGATGAGACAGTCTTCACTGCATTTACCTCCTTAATAGCTCTAACAGACTTTATAAGAAAACTATGATATAAATTCAGATCAGAAAACAATGTGAAAATCTAGTACAGAGTAACCCAAAACAAACCTCAGGCAACTCAAGATGTATGAATTATAAAATTATTGAAATCATCAAAATAGCTAAAATTCTATGGATTATCAAACATATACAAATACTCTGTCCATTCCCCATGACTTTATACAGTGTTTTGTCTATTTCCTTGCCTATATTGTTTTTGATAGAAATGAATCTTGACACTGATCATAGCTTCACCGTATGATATCACAGGTCAGGCTGCAAGTGCTAGAATACTTCTGTGAATTCAACAGCTATATAAAATGTTATAATTATCCTTGTCTGGATCAGGCATGCCCTCTACATTGCAGATGTGCAGATACTGCCAAAGCTTCTGAAATGTCTGATTTGTCTTTGCATGTCACACAATAAAATAATCTTGAATACATCCCTCTACATTAGGGAGGTCAATTAGTTCCAAGCATATATAAAATCTGAGATTCCCTTCCAATTGCAACTCACAGGTATCTACACCTCAGAATTCAACTTCCCAATGTTTCTTTGACAACGGCCGCGGGGATCCGTTCCGCTGACGATGTAACACCCTCTATCCACAAAAGTTGGCACTAAACTTTGCTGACTTTGGTCGGTATAGTTTGCTTGTGGACTGAAATCATTGAGTTTGTTTTGTTTGTTTCATTATGTTTATTTTAGTCAGTCCCTTAAAAAGCATAAAAATGAGGTTTCACTGTGTATGATAGTGTGCAGTCTTATATCCTTCAGTGTTATGACACCTGAATCAAACTGAGTACCATAAAATTAAGGACCAACATAACTTACTCATTGACCATCGTTGCAAACATTACAACCGCCTCCTGGGACCATTTACCATTACATGGAACCAATCCAAACAGTGAACAATGTCGTGTCATAGCTGGAGTATGCGCATATGCTGGTGGAATGCAGCGAAGCCTATGTACATGAACAAACACATTTTTCACTATTCCAGTATAACCTGAAGTTCTTTATTATATTGTTTGCATAAGTGGAATATATCATATTGGTGCTGCTTGAGTGCAAAGTGCACATACAAGGAATGTAATCTACTGAAAAGTTATGATGTTGACTTTCAGTTCTATACTCGTATTTTATGTGCTAAGGCGACAGCTACAGTAGTCAGTTACAGACTTAGCAAAATCAAGTAGCCAAACAGTAAAAGAAAACAATACATAACCTCAGAAAAATATATACATATAAATTACTCTACTGTATAGCATATGTATGACAGGCATAAGTTTATAAGGGCAATAAACGTAACAAAAATGGTAAACAAACTGACCAGAAGACTGATGTTAAGCAAATGATTGTCAAATATATTGACAGTGTTTTATATATATATATTTCCTTGTGGCTAAGACATAGCAAGCAGAAGGACATTTATTACATGAAAACAAATCACAAAAGGTATTAAAGTATCTAATGTTTCTGAATGGAACTCTGACACCAACAGCTTCAAAAGAAAAGGGTCTTTAGAGTAATAAATCCAAGTTTATTATATATAGAACCTCAAACAACACTGCTTCAAGTATAAAGTGTGCAAATTTAAGTTATCCAAACAAAATTATAACTGCATGAATTACGACTTCTAAACAGACACATACTCTTCTTTATATAACAGACACACATTCTTCTTTATGCATATAACATATATATACTAAATGTTAAAGTCATTGTACACATGCTAATATGAATGATAGGTCAAGATCTATTATCATGGTCAAGAAACTAAAAATAATATGTGAGGGGAAGGATGAGGATATCATGCAGCAGGAAGAAAGTACGGAGTGCCAGAGTCTTGCACTGAAAATGCAATGAAGAGAAAAATTTTCTGGGATGTGATAGTGTGTAGCCTATCACATCACCTATCATCTGGGGCTGGTACAATAGGCCAGAAGTGGCCGCAGTACAGGGGACTTAGTCCCACCCCACTAGCTATAAAAAATCTGTAAAAAATTTACATTTCAGCAAATAATGCAGTAGCAGAATAATGAATGTGTTTTGCTCACCTTGTGCTTGGAATAATTTCAGTGTTCCCATAGTCAATGTATAGAATATCCACCGATGTTTCTTCCGTATTTTCAGATGATGACGGCAGTATACTACGAACACGTGTTCGATACCACTTCCTATCTTTCTCATACTGCACCATATAAATACCATCTGAAATGCAACATGCCAACAGAATGAAAGGAGAGATCTACATACTCAAAGAAATATAACTGTTATTTGAAGCCTACGAGATCAGGAAACAGATCCACTGGGATTGGCTGGTTAATGTATTTAACAGTTTCAGTGTTATTCTCAGAACCTTTCTTTGACTCACTCCCACTTAGCATACTCCTGAAAATCTTCAGGCTCAGTGCACTGCTGCATCTGTTATTCCTTCATCTTTCTCTGGGCTGTATGACACTTTTTTTTAGTCATTTACCTCCCATACATTATGTACAATTCTCCATATGATGAGGCTCCAACTACCGTATTTACGCACGTATAGGCCGCGTGCGTGTATAGGCCGCAGCACAATTTTCAGACAGAAATTATAGAAAAAATATTTTTCTTGGAATATTATTTCAGGAGTATTACACCCTGTATTACTAATTACGAATATAATTTTTTTTAAATGACGTGTGATTTCGAATATTTCGAATATAAGCCGCACCCCAGTTTTCCTCTTGAATTTTTGGCAAAAAATGTGCGGCCTATACATGCGTAAATACGGTATTCCATTAATTATTGGGCCTCCTATACAATTTTATAATGAAACACTGAAATTTACTATTTGTCGACAGATACGTACAAAGTAAAGTATGTAAAGTGGAACCAACAACTGATTCAATGTTAAAAACATCAATCAAATTTTAATTTTGTTTTTATATGACTTTTATTGGTTTTAAATAACCTATTTCTTGTATTCTTATTGCAAATTATCTTAAATGATTTATGACACTGTACCAAATTTTGTGTACTGCAGTTCAGTGGTGTACGTTTGTTGAAGTGTGTTTGCCTGATGATGGCCGCTAGTGGCCTAAACATGTAGCAGAAATATATCTGGGCATTATCCTTGAAGTTCTTTAATTGTTGTGTTGCGACGGTCTAATGAATAAGTTGTATGCATGACACTTGTTGCACATAGTTCTTTAAGTATATCAGATGATGCTGTGACTTTATGGATAAATTAACAATGTATTTTGTGTTGTATAAAGCAGCTTTTTATGCACAGCCGTTAATAACAATTGTAACTGCTAGGAAAATTAAGTCTGTATCCTGAGTGAATTTGTGTTTTTGGAGATCAAGGATACAAATTTGTCATTTAGTGGATATATACCTTCTGACTGTTCTAGCAGTTCAGATGGTGGTACTGAACATTAAACAATATCAGAGGCAGACACATCAAAATCATCTGCAATGAAAATAAGTGGTAATACTAAAGAGTTCTAGTATATGATGCCGTGCAGTCCACTGAAAGTGAACTGATGTTTCAGACGACCACGTAGCTTCCAAATTCAGGGTTGAAGAGTACACCAAGCAAGAAACCAGAATGAAGCACAGATAATGTAGAGCTTCTTGAGAAATCTCCATAATGGAGTTAAAATGATTCCTAGGAGTCAAGCAAATTCATAAGACAAATATAAAACCTCATTTCAGTCTGGCGAATATACTCAAATCTATGGGATTCTTGGGAACTCCCTCATGAGTTTTCACAGTTTTGCCTAACAGAGTGGAAATCACTGCAATACACTAAGAGAATTACTTTATATTTACCCTTAAGAACTGATTGTGGTGGTTTGCTGGCATGCACATGTTTGCTGAGTTGTAAACAGAGACTCTCAACAGTCAAGCGGTCTGCTACACGCTGAACATAAAAGTTTGATGGATCACAAATGTGGCATACTGTCACAATGTCTGAGCTACCTGTATGGAGGGAAAAAGCATGGTATACAACTTTATCAAGTAATTGTTCATTTATACTTGTCATAAATATAATACTTTGTACTAAGCATGCAACCATACAAAAAGTATTCACTGGTGAGACAAAAGACTCCACCTTGGTACCAAAAATAATTTTAACTTCCAAGCAGCTGTAGAAACATGCGCTGGCTCCATCTTCAGGGTAGAAAAATCTGCTAGCGAGGAACCTACATTAGCAGGTGGCTAGCAGACTGAGTCACCAGTCGTAAACACCCAGCTATATAAGAACAGAGAGAGAGAGGGAGGGAGGAAGAGTGGGCAAAATGGGAAATCAAGAGAGGAGAGCGGTTGGGTCAGTAGAGATCAGGAAGGCCAGGCGAGTAGGTAGCAGTGGTCAGGAGCAGGTAGAGGAAAGTTGTCGTGGGTGGGGAAAAGCCGGGGCTACTGAGCAAGCATTGACCCGGGAGACTGGCTCCACAGCTGCTGAGCGTGTATTTGACGTGCACAGCCTTGTAGATCTGGTGTCATGTTCAGGTTTTGAGGGAGCAGATGACGGCTTCCACGACTTGCTGAGACAAAAACCAACTGCTCTGTTCATGTAATAATTCTACGATATGTAATGGCCTGTTGTAAAAATTATATGACTTGTAGCAGCTACTGAGTAATATTCTTTATAACTCACCTGCATAATAATTCTAAATCACTTAGTGGCTTTCATGGTCATCAAATAAAGACTTACTAGTCACAATACATGTCAGCCATTACATTTTAACATCTTGACTTATCTTAACATATATACTACAGTATAAAATCAGGATTCTTCAAACACTCAGTGCTGGAAAAAAAAAAAGATCTGGGTGATCTGGTATTGCTATTTCTAGTGCCATTAATTTTAGCTTCCTTTCATTCTATCATTGTCATTGTCATTATTTTCATTGTCATCATGCCTATACCTATGTCCACCTGTCAATCTGTATATGTATCTGTCACTTCTGACTTCCATCCCAATGTCTGAATTTTCATTAAACTTGGTATGAATGTTATGCCACACAAGGCATTTACTTCCTACAAAATCTCCTGGGACACGAGTGATACTAACAGCAATTAATGAAAGGCCTTGAAATTTTGCATGAAATAATTTTCCTGGGGAGTAAGGCACAGCTGGCGTGTAAGGCTAACAACATTACCATCATCTTTGAGCTGTCTAGATAATGTGGGATCCTCAACGTCTCACAACCATATGGGCCTCCACAGACTGTTACATGGATAGCTTTATTTTTTTACTTTACTTTACTTTACTCATGATTCAAACATAATTTTTGCAGAATATAACAACACTTAACAGCCATATAAAATCTTTTTAAGGTTTTTCATTTGTAATCAATAACCAAAATGGACCATTCAAACTAGGTATGTGTAATTTGGTATGGAGACTGAAATAAACACATCTACATGAAACATCGTTGTCCATTAAAAATGACAAACATGGTGATGATGCATTAGTATGAGGTTATGACTGACAGCTATCAGCTAGTAGGAATTGCACTTCATTATACTCTGTACCAGCCAAGTGCAGAGTCAGAGACGTGACAATGTATTGCCAGGTCAGGACTACTGCATATCTGTGAATATAAAGCTCCAATGCAACCTCACATGCAGTCACCTGAAACTGAGTCAAAGGCCTTGCATTATGAAGCCAGTGTCTAACCACCTGAGCTCTGGCAAGGAGTTTATACGGATGGAATTTACAGACGCAAATAAACAGATAAATTGTATAACTGCAAATTTATAACTTTTACATGCTTCCTTGCATAGATTAAAGCATCAGAGGCAAAGATGGTGTGATAAGTTGTCTGCAGAACTTCTAACATGGTTAGCACTAGTTCCTGAGTGTGATGTTAGGAGAAATCTCTCTTTGCTTGCAGGTTTAATAGTGCTGCCATATTCTGAGCTCAAGATTGGTAAACTTGTTACTGACAATGATAATGAATGATGAACTACATGAGGTATGTAATCAACCATAAAATTTCACTTAATTTTCCTTTTAAAAGGTTAAAAGGTAAAGGTAAAACTATCCCTGTAATAGGCCATGGAGGCCCATAGGGTTGTGAGATGGTGAAGCTCTCACATTTTTCAGACAATCGGCTCACAGATGGCTGTGAGGTTGTCAGCCTTACATGTTGGCTGCCCTTTACCCTCAGGAAGATTCCTGGTACTCATCTGTTAAGAGGCTGAGCCAACCCCACGGCCATAGAGTGGCTGGAGGGACAAACAGCACAAACCCAAATGTTAGTATCATAGATTAAATTTCACAATACACCCTTCATGTTTACCTTTGACAGCATTCGTTGAAAATTTTGCATTTTTACTAGAAGTACTGTTTGTGGAACGGTCATTTCGGTGTGGATCAGCCTGTTCTACGTCCTGCGATGTGGTCTCACTTATGGAAGACATCGAAGATGTGAGGGAACTCATCAACATCAATGTATCTAGAGAATTGTACACACAAGAAAGTAAACAATGACAATACCAATAAAAAGTTATCTTTACTTCCCCAAATGGGCAGTTATCTACCCCATACCATGAGCTCCTGCCATATTTCTGGCAGAACTTCCTCCAAGTTTTGGTATGACAGTTAAGACCTCACTAATTCAGACTAATTGGGAGTGAACCCTTGCCCAAATTAGTGAAAGTCCCAATGATATAACTGCTAATGATAATATGTTCAGGGAGGTTAAAAAATGGACTTAACATGTGTTTTTAGTCAGTACAACTTTATTTTGAAACTTAAATTGCATATCATAAAATAAATTTACTTGTCATAAAATGTAAAAATATAAGTTCTGACATCAGTCACAAAACATTTTAGGTAGCAGCAATAACATCAAGGTTTAAGGAGAAAAAAAAGTTTTCCAAAATATTGCAAATACTGAATTAGCGATGTTTCACTGTATTTATAGTTTCTGTTTTATGGTCAAAGCAAGCTTTTGTTTCCCCATAATTTCTATAACTTAATAGAGAATAAGATGCATGGACTTAAACAACATTGTACAGATTAATTCCAGAAATAAAGATAACTGAACGTAATATTAAATACAAAAGTCTAAGAGACACTTTACTAAAATTCAAATTAAATGCTGAAAGATTTCTATAATAGCACAATTTAATTACATCCAAATTAGGTATGGTTGGAAAATTAATGAACTCTGTGAAGTTAAACCTGTAACAAAATGCACAGTTTAGTCCACTGGTGTTGCTACTAATCACTAAGGTAAAATTGTCCCTTCACTTAACTAATTAAACACTATGCCATGAAGGCATATGGATGAATAGATTAACATTTTCTTGACCTTGGCACTAGCCAGAGGTTAGTGGTCAGCTTCAGGCCCCGGTCGCTTTACCCCTGGTACCCACTGAATAGGAGGTTGGGTGGAACTCAGAGCTAGTCTGGAGGATGGGGAGTAAAGAAAATTCTCGCCCGCCCCCTCTACTAATCACTAAACATGTGGAAAAAATCTTTCCAGCACAAGAAAGCAACCCTTACCCTGCTCAGTAGTTGTGGGAGAAAGCACCACTGATACAAATTAGCGAAAGAGATGTGATGTACAACACCTAAAATCAGTACCAGAAGCTGTGACAGAGTTGGGATAGCTCAGTCAGTAGAGTGACAGGCTATGGGTTGGATGGCTGGTGTTTGATTCCCAGCAGGGACAAAATTTTTCTCTTCTCCACAGCATCCAGACCAGCTCTAGGGCCCACCCACCTTCTTATCCATTGGAGGCAGTTTTCCTGGTGGGTAAAGTGGCCTGGAAGTGAAGCTGCTGCGTAATTAAGTACAGGGACTTCTTTAACTTTTCTGACCAGAAGATATAATAAGCAAGTAAGGGGTTCCACAGCTGATCTCCACACAGATAACTAGGGGTCTACTGAATTATACCAACAGTTGAACAATATAAAAAATTATACCTACCACTTTCAGTGTCTTCATCAATTAGCTCTATAACATAATCTGGTGGCAGGTCCTCAGTTTTAACAAGGGAGTATGAACTGGCAGAATGTATATCCAACTGGCAATGGTTATTTATCTGGGTCAGGAAAGATTCATCCACAACAAATCTGAAAATTTAAAATTCCAAGAAACATCAACAAAATAAATATCAAACTCATTACACTAACTACTGTTACTTCCTATCCAGATTCTTAAATATGTGGATGCTAATTTCTTTTACATAAAATCCAATTTGAAGAAATAAGAACTGTAAACAATATACGTTCAAATCAACTTTCATGCTATCATTATCCTACACAGCTGAACATGATAAACAACCTCTTAATTTCATACCACCAGTGTGTACAGGAGAATGACTATGATCAGTGAACTCAGCTGGCATGATACAATACGTAATACATAAGGAATCAAACAGGGTATAGGTTATTCCTTAAGCAGTCAACAGGCATCAAACTATTCATGGAGCTCATTATTTTTTTAAAACCCAAGTTCTTTCATAATCATAGTCACTGTCATTGTCATCATGATCATCATCATCACAACAGTTTAATCCAGCTGACATTCTAACAATCTGTTTACCTAACAACCACTGTGATATCACTCTCTTACCATCATTGACCTCAAAACATTAGCTTCTGTGAGGTGTTCCACACAAACTTTGGCATGCAAGTCTTGTTTTACCCCACTTGCATTACATAACCTGTCCATCTCAGTCTCTAAAGAGTACAAATTACGAACAACTATCTCCAAATGAAGTTACTTCATCTTATAGGCTCAAATGTTCTACTCACTGCTTTCTTTCCAAAGACCCAATTCAACATTCACTCTTTCCTTAAAGTGAAAAACCATGTTTTACATGCATAAAATTGCAGTTTTGAAGAACCATTACAAATGTTTGTAGGACATATCCAGAGATGTTCACTGTTTAATTTACTATCAACAAACCTGTGAGGATATTTAAGGTTCTTGAAAAGATATTCAGCTTTTGCAGAATCTGAAATGACTCTTTCCGTTACATCATTACACGAATGTACTTGAGCACATGGATGTATGAAAAGCTCATTTATATTTTGTACTGGTTAATGTTTCAAAATCCACACTTAAATCACTTCAAATCAAAGCACTATAGCATCTGTCTAAAACCACTCTGGCAACTATGATGATAACTCTGTGATTTCAGTCTGCAAGCGAACCATACCAACCAAGCGACCGCCCTTGTCGGCGAAGCTTAGTGCCAGCTTTTGCGGATAGAGGGTGTCGCGTGGTCAGCGCAACGAATACCTACGGCCGTTAATTTCGGTTTTCTAGACCAGAGCCACTATTTCCTTGAAATAGCTCCTCAATTATCATCACGAGGCTGAGTGGACCCCGTTCCAGACCCACTACTTCGCCGAAAAAATCTAGTAACGCTGGGAATTGACCCCGGACCTCTGGATCTGTAGCCAAGGATGCTGACCACTAGACCACAGAGGCAGTCACTATGATGATGAGCTGAATGTAATTTTAATTCAGCAGATGCCAAGGCAGCTTACTGTGTCACACTGCTATATATCAACCATTCTGGCACTAAGCAAGATCTTGGGTTATCAGGGCACTGGTCTACCTACCACTCAGCACTACAGCCCTGGGTGGGCCTTGACCTCCTCTACAACTAGTCTCCACTGCTCTCTACTCCTCATCTTCTCTATCCATCCTTTCACCTTCATCTTCTTAAGCCCATTCTCAACAATGTCTAGCCACCTCATCCCGGGTCTTCTTTTTTTTCTTTTGGAATATAGCCTTCCATTATCATTCTCTTTGGCATTGCATTACTGTCCATTTTTTTGACCTGTCCCAACAATCTTATTCTCTGTGACTTGATAAATCTTATTATATCTTCTCCTTTCAGTAATGTGTTTATCTCTTCACTGTATCCTATCCTCTGTATATTTTTTTTCCATCACTGGTCCTATATTTTGTGTATTATTTTTCTCTCCAACATTCTCAGTGCCCTCTCTTCTGTTACTGTTAAGGTACACATTTCTCTCCCATATGTAGCAACAGGCCTTACTAATGTTTTGTGTGCTTGTAGCTTAGCTGCTCTTGATATTATTTTGCTTGTAAGTGTACTAAGATGTGCGAAGTTGGCCCTTTTTCCGGCTTGTATCCTCTCCTTAACACACTTATCATTTCTGTTGCCGTTATTGATCATATTTCCTAAATATTTAAAACTACTCACTCCTATAAATAATTTTCCTTCTACTTTCTGATGTTGACATAATCATATATTTTGTTTTTCTTTCATTTATTTCTAATCCCATCTTCCTTGATTTTTCTTCCATTTACTTATATATTTCAATTATTTTTTCTCACATTTGGTGTGATTTTGTATAAATTGCTCCTTTCTGATCAATACTCTTTATTACACTGTGTAATGCCATTATGAATAGTACTGCTGATAAACCATCCCCTTGCTTGACTCCAGCATTAAATTCAAATTTTGCACTTAGTTTATTATTTATTGTTAACTTTTGCTTGTGTAATATTCATTGTCATTCGAGTGAGCCTAATTAAGGACACTGGTCTACCATGCTGAATTTGGCTCTGAGATCAGCCAGACCCAGTACTGACCTTTCTTCTTTCTTCATTTCTGATAAAGTCAAAACTCGGTGTAAGAGCTGAGGCTTTCATGGCAAATAGATGTCATAAAATCTTTTCGGACAATCAGCTGCGTCAATGCTGAGTTAAATACCAAAGTTTCAGAGATCTCCATCTCCATTATCAGGGTTGGTGATTTTACCTCAAAACTCTGTGTATGTGAGAAATACAGACCCCCTCCCCCCACCATGGTTGAGATGCAACATTAAGCCATGGGTCCCCTCTCTGAGCCATCACTATCATCTATCACTGGGAGCAAAATGATCATGCCCACTGAGCATTCTTATAAAAAATGTGGATCTTATCTTTGCCCTAGCATCAAATGCCAAGATGGTAAAGGCCCATACAAGGGAAAAACAACAAACAACATTCTGGGGTTGTTTATGCCAGTTTTATTGACACAGTAATTCTAAAGGGAACATAGGCACTGTGGGTTGCCCTGGCTTTACAAGAAGAATGTCTAACTCTTCTACCTGAGCCAATGCATTCATGTGGGGGAGGACTCACTGTGGAACTGTGAAAAGAGTATGATGAAAGCTACTATCACCACTGTAACCAATGTCACACATTTCATTCCATTTTCATTCAGCAATGGCAGGGCAGTTCATCACGTTATGCTGCTGGAAAGGCAACAAATCGTTGATACACAGCTAATGATACTGTGGCATGACACCTAAAAGCCAGAACATCTGAGTCAGAGCAGGCGTCCATTGTTAGACAAAGGCTTGACATCCATGGTTCCATATCATTGTCAGGGTGACAATGAAATAGGTTCATGCAACAATGCATACATAGCAGACATTACCCCGGAAGTGAAAACCAGGATTAGTGCAATTCCTGCAGCAACAAATACACCAGTGACGGGTGCACAGAACATGTGAAACAGAACACTTCAAGGTGTCTTCTAGTCAATCTGATGGTAGAATATAAGAAACCAGACCAGAGTGAAGACCAGAACAGAGATGACTGGAGCAGAGATGGGAACAGAAGAAACCAGCAGAGCCATGGGCTAACAGCAAAGACACTCCGCCAAGAATAGTGATGGAAGAGAGAATAGCCATTGAAGAAAAAACAAGAGAGAAGACAGACTAGCCAGGTGGCATCATGTGGCAGATGTAATCTCTGAGTGATTGTAACTGCAGCTGTAAATGACTTCTCCAATACAATCACTTTGTCTAATCTGGAACCCATTAATTTCTTGTTGCATTACCATATGTGAAAATATCTAAACCATGAAAGGACAGAATAATGTCCTCAGGGTACTTACAAGGGTGACTGCCAAAGGCTTTGATGATTTGTGAGACCCTGTGCTTCAGCATCTTCAGTTTGTTATATAACCTTTAATGACCAAGCCTTTCACTTCTGCAATGCCCAAGCAGACAGTCCATCTAGCTTGGCATTACATTTCTTCCATAACAATACCATTTCCCCCACAGTACTGCATAATCTAAAATCCTCTATTCCAGGATGACAAAGGTTAAGTTGGCTCTCTAGTTACTTTGTGATGCTGCATTAACTGCTGAGGTCTTGTAACCCTGATGACAAGATGATTATAAACAATGACCAGGCAGAAACATTGGAGAAATATGAACAAACTGAGAAAACAGTCTTCTCTCTATGTTTAACTATAGAATCAGTCAGCATAAAGCCTGCCTGTAACAGTCTCTGGGTATGAGCCAAAGGCATGAGCAAAATCTTCTCAATTTAATGCAGAAAACTAAATTCCTAAATTTAAACTTTTAAAAATGCATACATTCAACATGCAACTAATGGACATGAAGATGAGTGTACCTGGACAACTTTGGGGGTGGGGGTGGGGGATGGAACGAACCAAAAAGAAATGTAATTTCATATAAACAGCTTTTCTTGTGTTCTATCCAATGGCAAAACTCAACAGCGACAAAGTAATCATATTACAATTATGTTTCCATGTCATGAAGTACATACTTAATTAAAAAATGACATTTAGTGACCAGTCTTGCAGATTCCCACAACATTTTGAATAGGTGGAAGAACTACTTCTCTGAGTTATTGAATGTACACAGGGTCAGTGGTGTTAGGCAGATAGAAACGCATACAGCTGAGCCGTTAATACATGATCCCAGGTTGAAAGTGCTATTGCAAAACTGAAGAGGGATAAATCATCAGGTAGCGATCAAATTCCAGCAGAACTTGTTCAAGCAGGAGGCGAAATATTACGTGCTAATTATGTCTATTTGGCATAAGGAAAAATTTCCTGATCATTGGAAGGAGTATGTTATTGTACCAGTTCAAAAGAAGGGTGATAGAACTGACTTAATTATCAGGGGATATCACTGCTATCAACTTCATACAAAATTTTATATAATATTCTTCTCTCAAGGTTAAGTCCACATATTGATGAAATTATTGGGGATCATCAGTGTTGGTTTTGACATAACAGATCAACTACAGATCAGAACTTTTGCATTCGTCAGATATTGGAGAAAAAATTGGAGTACAATGAGGTGGTATATCAGCTATTTGCAGACTTCAAGAAAGCCTGATAGAGTCTGGGATAACCATGAAACTAGTTAAGCTGATTAAAATGTGTTTAAATGAAAACAGTCTGTACAGATAAACAGTCGTCCGATAAATTTACTACCCAGAATGGTCTAAAACAAGTAGATGCTTTATCGCTACTCCTTTTCAACTTTTCTTTAGAATATGCCATTGGAAGGTCTAGGGAAGCCAGGTGGGACTGAAATTAAATGGGACACATCAGCTGTTGGTCTATGCCGATGATGTGAATCTAGTGGGTGATAATGTAGATACCATAAAAAAAAAACACACAAACTTTAATTGACCCAAGTAAAGAGGTTGGTCTAGAAGTAAACACTGAGAAAACTAAGTATATGTTACTGTCTCTTCACCAAAATGCAGGGCAAACTCATGTCATAATGATAGGAAACAGAAGTTTTGAAAATGTGGCACAGTTCAGATATTTGGGAACAACAATAACAAATCAAATAATAATAATAAAATAAGAGGAGATTGAACTTGGGTAATGCTTGCTACCATTCAGTCCAGAATCTTTTGTCTTCTTGTCTGCTGTCCAAAAACACAGAAATCAGAATATACAAAATTATAATTTTGCCTGTAGTTCTGTATGGGTGTGATACTTGGTCTCTGACATTAAGGGAGGAACACAGACTGAGGGTGTTTGAGAACAGGGTGTTCAGGTGAATATTTGGACCAAAGAGTGATGAAGTGACAGGAGGTTGGAGAAATGTGCATAATGAGGAGCTTCATAATGTGTACTGTTCTCCAAGTATAATTAGAATGATCAAGTCAGGGAGGATGAGGTGGGCAGGGCATGTAGCACGAATGGGGAGAAGAGGAATACACATAGGATATTGGTGGGAAAGCCAAGAGGAAAGAGGCCACTGGGAAGACTAAGATGTAGGTGGGTGGACAATATTAAAATGTATCTTAAAGAGATAGTATGGGATGGTATGGATTGGATTGATCTGACTCAAGATAGGGACCAGTGGAGGGCTCTTGTGAACACGGTAATGAACTTTTGGGTTCCATAAAATGCTGGGAAATTCTTGAGTAGCTGCAGATTTGGCTTCTCCTCAAAAAGAGCTCAGCTCCATAAGTAAGTAATTTAGTGACATGTTCTTACACACTGATTTGTACACAAACTGTATCAACAATATGAAAGATTACATCAGAAAATAGAGTAACTCACCGGATTAACGTATCAGCATTGTTTCCATCACTGGTCAGAAGATGAATGGGAAGATGCTCTACTGCCCGTAGTTTGTCCGTAATTGAGGACAGGTCCACTTTACTTATGTTGGCTGGATCTTTGGCTGAGACTGCTTCTTGAAGTAACTGACGTACATATTTAGTATTTGAGTCTAGTTCATTCACTACCAAATCCAAGTTATGTTTGTTTTCAGTCTTTGCACATCTCAATTTTTCCATCAGATTCTGTTCCAACAGCTGCAGTGCACCATGAAGGTACACAAAGTGTCGTGTCACCTCTTGTTCCAATGGTGTCAGTTTTTTCCCTGTTGTGGGCACCATCATCAGTTCTCCCACTTTCTGAAATAAATAGATGTTTATCTTAATTCTTAAATGTAACACATTTATAGTTTATGCATTAACACTGAACACTACCGCATTCTTTGGCGAGCGACCTCTTCTACCAGGTATGGACATAATGGGCTTTTCCCTTTTAAAACACACTTTCTGAAAGCATGCTAATTTCTGAGGTGGGAGAAACGCTAAATTAGGACTACAAAATTATGGTACTATATCTTTAAAGAATATGAAACTTCTGTTTAGGTATTCTATTGCAGAAAGTAAAATAACAACATGGTGGTCTAGCAATATATTTCTTTAGTTCTCAGTTTGTTGGTGATAATTTAATGAATTAATGAGCCAAGTTTGTGAAAGATCATAAATGTACCTACATATTATACATAAACACTGCCTGTTCCCAAGCAATTACAAACATGATGACAGTGAAAAACTCTGTGGTACATCTGGTCAATTTAACGTAGATAGAATCTGCACTTAAGTAGCAAGTTCTTCACAAAAATAAAATAACGTTAACACAAACTGGATCCGAAATCTATGCAACATGAAAGAAGTCCTTATGTGTTCTACTTGGAACTGCTTGTTAACTGTACCTACATGGAATTCCAAGTAAAAAGATTACAATTGAATGCAAATGGATATTCAGCATCATTATTTACCTCTTTAATATCTGAGGAACAGGCTACAGGAACAGGTGGTGGCAAAGAATATTTAAAATGGCTTCCATCTATGTGAACATCTACTAAAGCATTCAATCAATTCAATCATGGAGCTGAGCCCTTCTTGAGAAGCTGCAAACTGTGCAGGTACTCAAGAATTCCCCAGCATTTGACAGAGCCCAAAGGTTCATTACCATGAAGAAAGCAGTCTTCTGGGATTTTGCACCGTGTATATGTGGTGTTAACCGACGTTTCGGAGGAACGTATCGCCTCCATCTTCAGGGTAGAAGAAAAAATATATAAGAAATCTGCAAGCAAAGAGACCGTGAGAACCGGTAAAAGCAGACTGCGAAATCCCAGAAGACTGCTTTCTTCATAGTCACCGCCGTGAAAGCCTCAAATCTTACGTTCATTACCATGTTCGCAAGGGCCCTCCACTGGTCCCTGTCCTCAGCCAGATCGATCAAGCTCAAAGAATCTGCCCAGGTCCAAGGCTTTTTGTGATCTTTTGTAACAAGCTTATTTTTTACAGTGAATTGTCAGCCGCACGACCAAACCCCAAGCTGGAGGACCACCCCTTGTCGGCTGTCAATGACTGGTTATTCAGTACATTCACAGCTACCTTCCATATCTGGAGGTCGTCTTCTCCATTTGCAACCTGAACACGTGCCCCACTCTGGCGACAAGGGACCCACCTAAAAATCTACTCAGCCATAGTGAACTCAAATTCACAGGGCTGCCACAACCCAGATTAATGTGAAAGTGCAATACCATTACTCAAAATAATTCATTTTCAGTAGAGGTTCTGCCTGCCCAAAATACTGTTCAAAGTATGCTTAATTAAACACATTACTGAAATGAAGGTCCACTAAACAATTTATGCTCCCAATTAAAAAACAAACTCTTACAAAGAGTGAAACAAAATGCAATGACTCTATAAACTATAACAACTTTTGATTGGTTAGCAGCAGTCCTTTGTGGATAATAAGGCACAGGATAGCTCTTGGCCTGTTGACCTCTGTTACTTGGGGTTTGGGAAAGGAGGGAACTTGCAGTTAAAGAGGTGGGGTATGACGTCACACCAGCTTAAGGCTGCAACCCATTGCTTGCTTGACCCCAATCCAAGACCGCCTGTCTCTGTCTATACAACTCTCTCTATATCAAACTCCTGAAGCTGTCCATAGTTACTACTATGGCTTCGTGAGTAGCAGAACTAACGACATGAATACACTACAACTAATCATCCTGTTGGCCCAGCTGCTAACCTGCTCCTGGGGTAAGTGGTTCACTGATAAAGGGTAGAAGTAAAAGTGATGCAACAGTAATCACAGTGGCAAATGGCTGATGACAGGGGCTCTTTAACGATATACCCGAAATTGTATTTATATAATAATTTACTACGCCACAAAATAAAACGCACCGGCCAAACAACTGAAAAATTAAATTGTGACGACAACAATGAATATGAATATGTTGATCAGCTGATCAATTCTTGTTATTTTCGGATGTTATAGCATGGTGCTGAAACCTGTATGCTAACAGGGTGTTTCACGAGTTTCTTCCAATCCATGTGTAGACATTAATACGAATACGAAATCGAACTTCTTGGAACTACTTTGTTTAGGCGTTTTCTTGTCTCAAAGAGATCGATAACCGTGGGCTAAGGGGAACACATTGGTGCTCTTGAAGTGTCTTTCGGCGGGTAATCGCAACACATGTGCCAATTTTCGCCCCGCGACCGGAATCTTTATTTCGTGCCGAGTTCGACGATTCTGACGATGTCCATCGCCGGGGAGTTCTAAACGTTTATGCTGCGTCCAGGTGTCACAATAATTGAGGACTTCTGGTGTATAAAAGTGGTCTAATATTAGTTAGATATGTTTTGTCGGCCAGAATGTTCCAAAACAGAGTTTCATAAAAGGTCTTCACGTGAGAACACACAAGTTGCGAAGATAGTCATAATCCAGTTGTTTCAATTTGCATTTTGTTTTCGCGGATGTTCACGTCAAATTAATAGCATGTTCATGCTGCCCAACACTTAGAAAGGGTTTGCGACCGTGGGCACCGCCAGGATTTTTTCGGGGAGGAGGACCAGAAAATCTGCTCACAAACTTACAGTTTAAAATATAATTTTAATCGTTATAATTATTTGGTATCTTTCTTTCTTTTCTTTAATTCAGATTTTGTAAATCGTGAGGGGAGTACCTAGTTAGCCACCCCTTCCGGCCGGCGCTCGTGTTGGCGACCCTTACTTTCGATGGGCTGTCCATAACAGATCTACCCACAATGTCATGTCTTGCGGAACATTTCACGGTTTTCCACGGAACCTAAATGTACATACAGTGAGAAGTTTATATACGTGATCCGCTTCTACGATTCTGCAGAATCTGTTTCTGTGGTTTAACGACGTAACTCGCTCCATACATCGTAGAATGGCCGGATAACAAAGGACAATGAATCGGGAAGGAACAGGAAGGAAGCGATCGTGGCCAAATGTATGGAATTCGCTTAGAGGAACTGAGTCAGGAACCTCAGTCAGGATAGTCGGTGTCCCGGACGACATTCGAACCACCAATTTCGGGCAAACTGCATAGGGTCAACAATAAAACAACATTTATCATGAAATAAGCAGCTTATTTAATTTTGGAAATGCCTGCTACTGCTCGGCTGAGACAATTTATCGCCCAGCTTAAACAGCTTAAAGTCTGTCTAATATGGCTGTGAAATATGGTCTCGCGCCCGAAGAGAAAAGTTTTGAGTGCATGTGAGCGGACATTTAGACCTACGAGAGGGGAGGTGAGATGGGGACGGAGAAAGTAGCTAATCGGGAGCTTTACAATTTCTACTGTCTATCTGATGTCATTAGGGCGATAAGTCAATGAGGGTGACATGGTTGGAGATGAGACATGCATACAGTATTGAAGTCCAGAAGGCTTGAAGGTAAGGGGCTGCTTAGGAGACTAGGCGTAGATGGGAGGATATCAACAGAAGAGATCTTAAAAGACACAGGCTATGAAGATGTGGAAGGTATTCATCTGGACCAGGAAAAGGTCCAATGAGGAGGCTCCTATGAACATGGAAATTAACCTTGAGGTTCCATAAAAGACGGACAATTTCTTGATTGCCTGATCGACTATTAGGACGAGAAGGGCTCCTGTTCCATGGGGATATGGTGCTGCTGCAGCAGTAGTAGTACCCTTGCTTTACCTTCCTAAGTCCCCAGGTTCAGATCCCTGCTTGAAGACGGGCAACTTCCGTCGTTTCTCAGCTGGAGCATTTCTTACGATAGGCCAGTAACGCCTCCTGACTTCCTTACCAATTCATCATTCACAATCATCCCATTACTCAACGGTGCATGACCCATGCAGTTGACAAAATGTCGCTAAATAACTCAAGCAAAGAACGATACAATGTTTATTCTCCTGTAACTCTAAAATACATCATGTCAACGGTGAAACTTGTTTTCTTCTGTCATCACAAGAGAGCGACGGGCCTACTTTACCCAGTGCTATAACAGCTTACACAACATGTCGCATTAGGGAGTCGTAACATGTCTCAATAGACGACAAACACATATGATGTGGTATTGACTAATTCCTTTTTGAAATAAGAATTCAGTCGGATGACAATTATTGCATAAACATAAGTCAACAAGATGCAGATGAAATAATAATCAATGCGTGAGGACATCACACTCCCTCGTATGAAATTCAGTCACATCCAGGCGACACTCGAAGCACGAGGCAGGCAGTGTCTAACGAACGGAGTGCTAAAATGGTAACCTGGTGGATCGCTTTGTGGTGTTTATTTCCGTAAGGGACTAACTGTTATGCCCGGAAGTCATTCCACCGTCACCTCCCCTGAATGACCTCATGGTCAGTTGGTTATGCAACTGCAATGGTTATTCGTCGGTGTAAAGTCCCTGTGCTTAGAAGGCGTAAGGGGGAGTGAAAGTATAGATCCAAATTTTCTTGAGCTCGACATCAGCTGGAAGTCAGTGGTCAGCTTCACGCCCCGGTCGCTTTAACCCCGGGGAAAGAGCCCCCGGTACCCATTGGATAGGGGGTTAGGTAGACCCCAGAGCCAGTCTGGACGAAGTGGAGAAGAGAAAATTCTTGACCCCACCGGGACTCGAACGTCAAACCGTCGGTCGTCAAGCCCGTAAAGAATAAAACAAGTATGTCCCAGTTTCCGGGCAAGACGCCACGAAGGCATATGGACACAAAGCGGAAATTACTGACCAGAATGATGCATCTAATTGATGTTTTGAAACATTTATTCATGAGCGCCAGGGATTAAAAAATATGACTGCCAGATAATTCAACACAGCTGCACATTTCAAGACCACCGTGTTCCACAATTTTAGAATTCGGGTGATTACGCCAAAATAATATAGTTAAGGCATAAGAAAGGAGCATTTCCAGTTTCCAACTCTTCCGTACTAGTAGCCTATACGAGGACTCCGTATGAGAGCTACGCGGCACAACTACAATTACACTCAAATGATGCCACAATGACAGTGTGAACACAACGAGACGGTGTTTGCGATCTTTCGCGGTTCATGGATTTGATACGTAAACATCAGTTGGAAAACTTTCAGTACGCGTCAGATAGAAACGTTTAGTCACGATAAATCCATCAGAATTCGATGAACTGGGTGACTTGGCTAATCTTGTGTTATTCATAGTTTCACAACTCCATACAGCAAAATTTGGTCGACAATAACATAAATCTTCATCCTACTCTGTGTCTAAGGAAGTATAGGCTAATATTAATATCATTTGTATCCATTCGTGTGCATGTCCGTCTGAAATACGGTCTATGGGTGGAAATTGCATCAGGCAGGGTCCCGTGACAGGCTTCTAGAGACGCGGCAATGGACCACAAGTAAAAGGGGGGGGGCAGAGTACTTCTTTAGTAGGTGGGTGATATCAAATTCTCAAGAAGAGTTCTCCTTATATAGTTAGGTAATTAGTGCCAAATTAATAACACAACATCACCATCCTCACCGATCTGTCAGGACCCAGAATTGTCTTACATGCTCTGACTTGCAGCCGTGGAATTGAAAAACATTCGAGCTAATGTGGGAAACTCTTAAACGATGTGTAAGGTAAAGTTCTCCCTGTGCTTAACCAATTAAGCACTACGCCATGAAGGATTATTGGGGAGTGGATGTACAGATCCACACTGTCTTGACCTCGGCACTAGTTGGAGATGAGCGGTCAGCTTCACGCCCTGGACCCCTTTACTGCCGGGGAAAGAGCCCCCGGTACCCATTGGATAGCAGGTTAGGTGGACCCCAGAACAGGTCTGGACGACGTGGAGAAGAGAAAATTCTTGATCCTACCGGGACTCGAACTCCGACCCCTCGATCGTCCAGACCGTAGCCGGTCGCTATACCGACGACGCTATCTCGGCTCCTAAAGGATATGTAAGCGAGGATTATTACCATTATAAAGGGGGTTGTGGAATGATTAAGTTTGAACTGAGCCAAACCGTATCGTAACAGCCAAATTAGAAGTTTCTCTTAATGAAAGCGCGTCAAGCAGGACGGGCGGGCTGAGATCTCCCACGCCCTAACCATAGTCTGTCGGCCGGCCACAGCCCACTGTGCATGCGACTATCATTGGGCCTTGACCCACCCTACATGAATCATTACAACACTTTGCTGCTGCTGTGCACACGACCTCTAGAAACGAAACGGCCTACAACTGACGCCCACACAGCTGGTTCCGTCATTGCGTTACTTGGTATCGAACACACAGCCTCTCGATTCGGTCGGTAGCTCCGCTATCCGAGAAACAGTGACGGAGATCTACATCCTGTACATTTCTTAACCTTCCTCGTGAGACAGCCCGCTCCAGCCTCTCTTACTGTAAAGGTAATGTTGAAATTTAAGGATTTGACAGCCGTGAAAGTTCGGGATTATGATAAACGAGGTCTACCCCGGTGGTAAGGCGGCTGGGAGGTAAAGCTGATCACCTCCGTCTACTGCCGAGATTAAGAATGTGAGAAGCTACGACCCCCGCCCCCAAAGGTTCTTAATTAACTGCAGGGGCAGTCACACCAAAAGTGTAAACCCTGTAAATTCGATGAACCATCTCTGAACACCTGAGTTTGAGAATGTTCGTGCAACAGCGGCCCTATAACGTTGTGAGAGTTTCTGTGACACAGTACTTGTCCGTAAGCTATATAACTCTGTGATTTTTAGTCCGCAAACGAACTATACCGACCGAGAGACCGCCGCTTGTCAGCGAAGTTAGGGCCAAGTTTTACGGATAGAGGGTGTCGTGTGGTCAGCGCAGCGAATTCCCACGGCCGTTAATCTCGGATTTCTACACCGGAGCCACTATTTCCATGAAACACCTCCTCAATTATCCTCACGAGGCTGAATGGACCCCGTTCCAGACCCACTGCTTCTCAGAAAATCGAACCCGGGATCTCTGGATCTGTAGCCAGGAACTCTGACCACTAGACCACAGAGGCGGTCCCGTAGGCTATACTGTATATAGGTATGAATTTATTACCAATGGAAGCTGGTGATGGTCGGCTCGGAAACCAGTATGCAGTGGTAAGCCATGAAGTCAGTACGACTTTCACTTCCAATCATGACGACGCACACCCCAAAGGCTCTCTTAATAATTAGTTTCCGGAAGTTGACAAACGCCTGTATACACAGTGGAAATAGGAGGCAGTACAACATTACGACTCGGAGGTTGCGTAATAATGAAGAGGATTCACTGTTATAAACTGTTCACAATACATTACCACGTAGTTATTTTACACCTGTGTGACTATCACTGAAGAAAGCGCAGAGAAATGTAGATGCTCATTTCAAAAAAAAAAAAGAAAGAAAGAAAGAAAGACATGCAGATAATATAACGTAAGACACAACTCAGTGCATTAGAATGAGTTCCTGTTATTCTGCAACAACATAAAAACGTTTCTGTACCGTGGGAGAACACACAATTCTTGTCAGCCCACTCACAATCACCGGCTGGCTTCTTGGAAACATTAACTACAGTAAATTGGCTGATACCTGCAACACGTACTCATGTAACTAAGATCTCAAGTTCTGTGGGCGGTGACGAGGAGGACTACTCTCTCCTGTAGTGTGACGTCGCGTAATCTGCTAGCTTACTGATGTTTCGGAGGAAAATTCTGCCTCCATCTTCAGGACAGGAAAGCAGGCCGAGTGTGGAAAAAGAAAAACGTACGATATTTCGCGCTAGCCAACCGGGACAGAGGCCCTGAGAGGGTCAACGGGAGTAAGAGGACAGTGCAATAGACATTTCGGTTACAGAGTCACTGCTTTCGTCAAAAATCTTCACTCTGATTCTTCCAAAGCGACGTTACAAAATATGTCCGAGTGAATATTCTCCAGAAAACCAATTAAATGCAGACGAGTTTGGGTTATTTTACCGACACATTCCCAGACGCTGGTTCAAAAAGAGTCACGTGAGTGCGTATGAACTGCTAAAATGTTACAGGGGAGAACCTGAACATTTCAGTTCTTACAATGGTGCAGCCTGCTGAAAGTTGACGTTTCGGAGGAACATCTCACCACCATCTTCAAGGTTAAAGAGTATACCAAGCTCTGCTTGCTACCCGCTCCATGCTGGATTCTTATTTGGCTTCTTCTTCAACCCTGAAGATGGTCACATACACCTCCGAAATGTCTGACTTTCAAAGCACTACACGGCGTTATATTCCAGAAGACAGAACTTCGGAACTTGTTAGTGAATGGTAATGCTTCATGGCCTCGTGTATTCAATGAATAACATGCAGACGCCGGACCACCTCTCTCAATCTGTGCTCTAACAAGAAGCATGGATAAGCTAAGAATGGCTTGCAACTGCGGACCAAAACACGAAGAACGAGAATACCGGAAGCTTCTGCCTCTTGTTGATAATGGAACAAAAGTAATTAGCAATGAGACTGTGTAACTTCTTCCGCCTAATCTGACGTTCAGAGCTGTTGAACTCTGAACTATTAAAACCCATTACTGCAAGTAGATGTTAGAGTATGTTGCATCAACCGCAGAAAATCGCAGTAAAAAAGAAGCTATCCCGGTAACAACCCGCAGAGGCCCACATGTTTGAGACATCCAGGATCCCACATTTTCTAGGCAATCGGCTCACAGATGGCGGTGAGGCTGTCAGCCTTACGCGCCGGCCACCCTTTACCCCACAGGAAGATTTCTGGTACTCATTCCTGTCAGAGGCTAAGTCGACCAGAGGCCTTAGTGCAGCTGGAAGCAATAGGTCAACTGAAAAATTAAACGACATTGAACCCGCGATCTTCCGACTTGTAACACAGTGCTTCAACCAACTATGCTACCGCATGCCCCCCCCCCCCCCTGAAAACTGATGTAAAATTCAAAACTACGCGCAGCAATAACAGCGTTGCACACAGTTCGGGGAAGATATTTTTCAAGGGACTACTGCAAGCGAAGTGGAACAAGACGAATGGGGGGAAGATACGAACCTATCTGAAGTGATTGGTTCTTATCCACCGGATATTCAGGACGGGCTCTGTTGATGAGACGGATAATGTTGACGCTGCACTTCTTATCCACGACGAAATATCAACCGCAGCTTATTGTATTGTATTATATTGTATTGTATTGGAGATTGTGGGTTTCCCCATGCACTTAGACCAACTGCTGGTACATTGTTCGTCCCCCTATGATATTCTACCAGTCTCTATTCCCTACCGGTACTGGTGCGTGCCATGAGTTCCGACTCAGCCAGCGAGTTCGGCCTCTACTGGCTCAGCGGTATCTCGCTGCTTCCTCCATCTACCAGAGGCGTTAGATACTACTGTTGGGCGGGAAATATCCTGAATTTGGCTCAGTGGTCCCCTTGGGACATGAGGTTCTTTTTCAAGAAACCGAAGGTAGCCTTTCTAACGAAGAACTGTGCGCTGAAAATTACTATACAGACGTTGATAAAAGGCAGCGCGTGATGAACATGTTAGTCCGTCTCGATCCACACAGACGTTCCATCGTGTTAACACACTTAAGTACTTCTCATCCCTCTAACTTTAGCTCACAGACGATGTCTTTCGTTTGTACAATAATATAGAAACACAGTGGATTCCTGCACTGATGGTAACAAGGCAGACAACATAACAAAACAATAATTTAGACGAAGGACTCTGACGCAATTACATATCAAACTGTACAACAATAATCCACAATACGGCGCAGTCGCTTATTAAATTTGCCACACCCACAGCATTTTGTACCTTTGACTGATCATTACACTTTATAACCATAAACACCTCTTTCACAATAATTTCAGATTCACTGATTCAATATGAAATAAGTATGCATATGGTAGTGTGCCCAGTAATCACAGGGTCGTCTCAAAAGAAAATGCTATGAAAAATCATGATGGCAAAAGTGACACAATGAAAAAGCTCAATATGTCGCTACTACAGACTTAGATTGTAATTATCTAAAGGGTGGAACTACGGGTGGCCATAGTGTCAGCAAAATGTTGCCGTGTAGTAGCAGTGCACATTAAACTAACGAAGTTTATATACAACGTAGTATCTACACCATATTTGTATACATCGCGGATCAAAGTGGTCTAAGGCATGAAATGTCTTCGCTCGCTCGGACACTGGGATCTTGGGTTCAAATCACAATCAAGGCATGGATGCATGTCTGTGTTTATTCTGTGTTTGTGTTATCCTGTGTAGGTAGCGGCCTTGCGACGGGCTGATCACTCGTCCAAGGAGTCCTACTGACTGTCTAAGATTAATGCCCTATGCGTCAAGCAGGTACAACAGAACATTAGACAGACAGATAGATAAATGTGAGTACTTCACAACCAAAGTAATTACATGTCTAGATGACGCAGAGTCAGTTTAGAAAAGTTACTAGTCTCTCAATTCGCAAAGCATTGGCGCTCACTATGAACCCCTAAGTTCATTACCGTGTTCACAAGAGCCAGCCACTACTCCATGCCCCGAGTCAGATGAATCCAGTCCACTCCCTCATGTATTGCTTCTTTAAAATAAATTGTAACACGACCTCCTCTCCAAGCGGTCTCCTCCCTGCAGGAGTTCCGACCAAAATTCGTATACATGAAGATTAAAAGAAATCATTAGGGCTAGGCCACCCTCGGATGCTAGATGCAATTATAATCTCGCTTTAGTGTTCCAAATAGCATCTCGAAAGCACTGTAAAACGCACTTCCCTGGAAAATTATGGAATACCTATTCAATATACATAACGCCTCCATGTTTTGCTGAAAACAAGAACTATGTTCAGACGGAAAGGAAGTGTTCTGCAAAATCTCACCTGAAACACTGCCAGAAGCAAGCCATTTTGTGCAGCAACATTTGTACTGCGTGTTTCAGGTGGGCTGAAGGTTAGCGTGAAGAAGACTCGTGCACCTGCCGACCTCGAAGAGAACCTCGACAACAGAAACGTCCAGGCAGCGGAGCCCAGTACAGTTCCGCCTGGTTTTCTTAGCCCGTCCGTAAAAGAGTACCTCGAGTTAGGGAAATCCATACCAGGTACGTAAAGCTGTCCCCATTAAGATTTATGGGGCGTGGAGGTACAGCTCCAGGCATTATTAACCTTGGCACTAGATGGAGGTGAGTTATAAAATTTATACCCCGGAGGCTTTACCCCGGGGAATAAATTTAATAGATAGGAAGTTGGGTGGGCCAGAGACCTGGCCTGGACGCTATGAAGAGAAGAACCTCTTCTTCCTGCCGGGCATCGACCCCCATTCCTTGTACGTGCAGCCCTTGGCCCATCGCTGTACCAATTAGCTATCCCGGCTCCCAAATCTATACCAGATAAAAGTGAAACTGAATCCTCGAACATATTTTGTGCATCTCTTACTTAACCCTAAAATCACGCTTAGTAGTAACATACCGACGTTTTGTACAGACAAAACATTTAGGCTGGGTTCATCTTTCTACATAAAATCACGGGGGCAACCTACCCAAACAAATTAAAACAAACATCGTCATCTGGTTTTTACTTATAACAGCTAAACAGATGTACCATTTCAAGTTAAAAACACGCGATTGTAAGCCGTGCCTTGATTTTATAAGCTTTGGGGGGGGGGGATTGTGGCTAAAGGTGCAAAGCCTGAGCTGTGCAGATGGCAAAACAACAGCTGAGATGTGATCTGTTCTCATGGTGGTGTGCACTGAGTTTTCTGGATTACGACGTAGTGTAATCTCGCAGGTGGTTATCATGGTTCCGAAGAAACATTCTTCAGGGCAGAGGAAACGCTGGTGAACACCTACCAGTCTATATGGTGTCAGAAACCAGTATATCGCCGTCTTATGGCAACAGATTGTCCAAATGCAGCAAAGGTTTCAATGGTGCATACACTTGAGTGTGATAATGTAACAGATCGACATCTCAGACATCTGTTTAGTGACTAGCTTCTCCTGCCTCCGCCCTTTGTCAAACAGGCCAACTGTTATCCACTTTCTATACGCGTCGGTGAATAACTCAGCAAGAACTTCATTACTGCCTTTTATCTTGACCTTGGAATTGTAGCTACATCACTAGTGGCCCTAAAGGCACGTCCACATTACTCGTGCTCGTGCTCGTCGGGAAACTCGCCTGGCTTTTACTTGTGCTCGTAAATCTTCGTCCATACTATTTCAGTTGCTCGCCAGGCTTCGGCGCGTGAGGATCCGTATATTTACTTGTCGTGTGTGCAGGCTCTAGTCGTATTTTAATTTATTGGCTATAGTTTTGAAATTAAAAATTTTAAATTTGCTTGTCTCGTGACTTGTCATATCGTCCGCATTTCTCGCGAGCATAACGACACACACGAGCACGAGTAATGTGGACGCGCCTTAACGGGTACATGGCCAATGTGCCTGCGCTTCGGTGACGTCCCTCTTATTCGTATGTTATTGGCAAAAGGTAACGTTGTCCCTGTGCTTAATTAAGTACCACACCACGAAGACGTATGGGGAGTGGAGGTGCAGCTCCACTATTCTTAACCTTGGCATTAGATGGAGGTAAGTGGTCAGCTTCACGCCTCGGCTACTTTACGCCCTGGTACCCAATGGACAGAATGACGGGTGGACCGGAGTGTCTGGACGCTGTGGAGCAACAGACCTTACTCCTGCTGGAAATCGAAGCCCGGCCGTCCAGCCCCAGCCTATCGCTATACCGCCTTACCCATCGCAGCTCTCTTAGTCGTGCGGTAAGAAGCAGTATTACGCGAAAACAGTCGCATTCAGTCCGAGTCTGCGCCACTAAGGCGCTGCAAGGGCAAATCCCCAGCTTCACTCGATTCCACTAGATTCCCGCAATGCTGGGAGAGAGATACAAGGATGTGATGTCAAACACGGCGTTTGCATCATCTTAGTGAGTCATATTCGATTCCGTTAGTGTGTCTGCTGCCTTAATCTCTCATTTATGCAAGCCCGAGACCGGTTTCTGTCATGACGGCAGTCTAAGCGTAGAATGATGGGTGGGATATGACCTAGCGATCGGGGGCCCTGTATAGATGCAGGTTCCCAACACTTCACTAGCCCGCTCAAACAACAGTCCACACACTCCCAACTCTATTTCTTTACGATCCATTTTAGTATCGTCGCCCAATCTATGCCTAGGTCTACAAAAAATAGCAACTTCCTCCAGGTTTTCTTAGGAAAACTCCGTGGGCATTGGCCGCTGCTCCCATGTGTGCTACTGGGGCCCCGGCCCGTCTCATCCTTCGAGATCTGATCATCTAGCGATATATGGAAGGTCCTCTTCATTATAAAATTTTCTCCAGCCACTTTTCATAAACCCCCTCTTAGTTCACATTATTCTTCCCAGCAACCTCTCTCAAATACATCGCAGACGAGTATTCGGGACGCCGCGGGTTCAAATCTTAGTCCCTGAGGAGTTTCAAGGTTTTCCTCAGACAATTTACGCAAATGCCGGGATAGCACCTCACATATGGCTATGACAACGTACTCCTCTATCGTTTTCAATTCATTATCCATCAGTAATGCTCCCAAATAACGGTATATAAGGTGTCTGCTTACCACACAGCCTACGTATTCTGCTGCTTCCAAACCATCATATACGGAAAATATTCCTTGTTATAATCATGATACCTAGTGCCGAATTTTTAATAAGAGCCAACTATGCATCAGCCTTTAAAGATGAACACTTGAACAGTCGCAAAAAATGTTATGTTGAGTCAAAAGATCTCTTATCGCTGTAATACCTGCCCTGCATGCCCCCTTACTGATGCACATGTGAAGTGGTAAGGTGACGCTGTCCCTGTGCATAATTAAGCACCATACCACAAAGATACATGGAGGTCTATTTTTAATCTCGGGACTAGACGGAGGTGGATGATCAGAGCGGCAGAAATCATAATGTGTGTTTGAAAAATACATCTGTAAGTGTTTCGACTGAAAATGATGCCCAGATAACTGTAATACGAATAACAGTGATGTACTAGAAGGTTTTCCAAGCAGAAGCAAGCTGGAAGGTCATATCGGTTCCGTGTAATGCAGTATAGGTATAAGTGAAGTGAGTCAAGGTTTTATCATAGAAGTACTGTAAGTGTATAAGTAATTATCTCGATAGTGACAACTCCATTACGCAACACAACTCTCGTCTGTACAAAAACCCTTAACCATAACATTTCAAATTTTACACTTCTTGAAAGTTGCTACAGTTTCAGGTCCGGAAACAGGGTTGTCCAAGGACATCGCACATCACAGGAATACAAAATTTATTCAACGTGGTGTCAGTTATGTTCAAAACGTGCCTGGATGCGATAACGGATGTCCTCCAGGCCTTCTAACAGAAACCTAGCATCGATTTAAAACATGCTTCGAAAATCACAAAGGTGTAACCAATTCTGTCTATAATGCGTGACACTCTGTAGATTACAGTTTCTTGATTGCCATATTGCTACTTCATGCGTCTTTACAATCTGCAAATGAGACATACCTGAGAGTAACAGATTTCAAAATAGGAATGTCCTGCTTTCAGATATGATTCCTATGTCATATTCGGAATGTGGGAAATTCCGAAAGAAACGCCCGCTCATCTATTCTTGTTTTTCCGCAGGCCGTCCCGGCACGGATTACCCTGTTCTATCAGCTGTACCATACACAAATTTTTACTGTGACTCGCAACCATATCCCGGTTTCTTCGCTGACATGGAAACAAGGTGTCAAGCTTGGCACTACTGTGACATTGATGGTCGCCAAGCGACGTTCCTCTGTCCCAATGGCACCCAGTTCTCCCAAGCAGTTTTTGTGTGCGACTGGTGGTTCAACGTGAGGTGTGACCTCAGCTCCGCTTTATATGCAATTAACAGCCGACTCTACGGGACACCTAGGGAGGACCCTACACGACCACACAGACTCATCACCAAAGAACTTCTACAAAACATATTCATATGAATGTGTGTGCTCAAAGCGTTTAACAGCGCTAGCAAATACATTCCTGCAGGTAAAAACACACTAGGTTAATAGTGAAGAAACGCCTATTCCATTAATTCGACTCCAGAAAGTGATAAAAACGCATGCTCTTAAGGACCAACACTGAGTAGAATAAGTTGCGGGTTACTGCCAAGAAAACAATGACAAGCCGAGTTTCCTTTGGCGAAGAGGATTAACTGAATCCATTCTGTGGTTTTGGCAGATAAAAAAATGACGACTCGGAATACGAATGAAAAGTTATGTTTACGCTTCATAACACCGAACTTTCATGTCAGGAAATGGAAAGTGTATTTAAGCATCAGGAACCCAGCACACTTTATCAGTATTTTAATGATACGAAACCGGGGAGGCTGAAATAAGGCACGTCAGTGCGCATCTGCAATGCTACTACATATGGCGGACTGCTACAGCTGCGTCCCCGTACTTCCAAATGTAGATGTCACCTCAACACAGCCGCAAGGGAAAAGAAAGTTGACGGTTGGTTTTACTTAAAAACCAGCACAAAAATATGTACGTGGAGTTCATTCTATCTAGTCAAGTGCATCACCACTGAAAGAATAAACGTGGTTAAGAGTACTGGCTGATCCAATGTGTTAAATTTGAGTAACGTTTCAATGGACAGGTCATAAAACGCTCAGATGATTATGAATGTTGTATACTTGTAGGTAACGAGAGGACTGGAAATAGGTGATCGCCTTTTCAAGGTACTATCCCAGAATTCGTCTTGAAGAACTGAAGAAAACACTACAAGTACAGTGGCCCTTCCCAACTTGTTATATTCGAAGAGGTTTATTATTACAGGGTGTACATATCTGCTTAAGAACTTATTATCCTCAATTATACTGCTAATCGGCAGCAATGAAACGCAAAGTCCATATATTGCATTAATGCTTTTAGAGTTTTAAAGCTGTAACATATTCAAAATTTTCATAAATGTACTGTAATCACGATTTTTCCAGATATAATAAATTTCCCTATAATTCTGAAATTCCTTATGAGATCGATTTTAACTATGTAACTCAGTACTGTACACGGCGTCTGATCAGGAAGCTGCGGAACTGATTTTGGGGCATGCGAGGAGCCTCTGGTCCAAGGAGTTAAATCCAATTAATTTCGTTTCTGGAGGGCGCTCAATTTCCGAGTCAAACACTGCCCGCATTTCGGCACTTCCAGAAATTAGTTTCCTTTCACGATGCTTTTGAGTTTCGGGACCCAAACCCAGGAAAGCGATGGGTCGCCAGGGACTCAGATACCTATGAAGAAGAGTGTCCAGTAATAGCACTGTAGTGCCTGTGGATGAACTTGTGCCTAAACACCCATCAATCCCATACGCCGAGCTAAAATCGTCTGGAACCTGTTGCAGACAGATGCTTGCCTCAACTGCTAGTTCGCCAAATGTCACTTCCTCATTAACAATAGCGGCTGATTCCTCAATGTGCGAATCCTGCGTGGTCATCATTGGAATTCCGACCTTAATAAACAACGCAAATGTTTCCAACCTGTTGAATTTCATCCCTGAAGTATAGCAACATTATCTGTGGGTTTCTAGGCCGTCTTCCTAAGATTCCTAAAATCTGACGAAAATATTTCCCTTTCTGAAGAAAGCAGTCTTCTGGGATTTGGCACCGTGTATTTGGCAGACTGTGTCTGCTTTTACCGGTTCTCACGGTCTCTTCGCTTGCAGATTTCTTATATTTTTTCTTCTACCCTGAAGATGGAGGTGATACGTTCCCCGAAACGTCGGTTAACACCACATATACACGGTGCCAAATCCCAGAAGACTGCTTTCTTCATAGTCACCGCCGTGAAAGCCTCAAATCTTACATTTCCCTTTCTCTTAACAACGCAACACATCAACCCGACACACATACACAAACACAATACTTGACTGATGACGAAAACAATTCCGAATCCGCGTGTAACAAATTCAATCCCTCAACGATTTAATCAGATCTCACACTTTGAGAATGTGCCTAACTTCATACAGAGGCAGATTTAAAACTAACGAATGATTTTCAAGAATTTTTGAACAACCCACATGTCACACCACTTCATCTCTATAAAATGTTTTCGGTTGGACCCTCTGCTACATATTCTTGCCCAACTTCATTCCACGACTGACGATCATTTTGGAAGAAAATTGATCAGTGCTGATCTCGGGCTGTTCCGGTATATGCTGATCGACCTGCCTGTTAGCTTCAACACGTTTCAATACATGGCATTCCCGAACTTGTCCACCCTCCTCTTCATCTTTCTACTCATTCATGAACATTCTTTTGGCTCACGCAGTTACAAGCAGACTGTAATTATTAATTAAATCCATCTATTTCAATAATCTCTGACTACAAAAAACGAATCAATGTTACACGAGGTAAGGTAAAGGTAAAATTGTCCCTGCGCTTAACTAATTATGCACTACGCCATGAAGGCGTATAGATCCGCCTCGGCACTAATCGGAGGTGAGCGGTCAGCTTCACGCCCTGGCCGCTTTACCACCGGGCAAAGAGCCGCCGCTGCCTGTTGGATAGGAAGGTGGGTGGGTCCAAGAGCCGGTCTGGACGACGTGGAGAGGAGAAAAATCCTACTCATACCATGAATCGAACTCCGATCCCTCGGCCGTCCAGCTAGTAGCCAGTCGTTATACATACTGCGCTATCCCGGCTCCTTCAAAGATTGTTTTTCATTGTATATTCTATTAATTAAGCTGCCACGATAAACGCGTCACGACATTATCACTACTCAAAAGACGACAAAATCCGGTAAGGTACAACCGCGACAAGGTTCATATTTTGGATGTGACGTTCTCACAGCGGTTACTATGAGTACCATTTTCCGGGATGAGAGGCCGTGTAATCCAGTACAAGTTCAACAACATTTCGGGGAGGCGTACTGCCTCCATCTCCAGGAACGATCGAAGCAAGCAGGAAGCTATGCTTCCGTGAACCTGTACCGGGCTACACGGCGTCGCATCTCAGAAGATAGTACTCTTCAAGGTTCATACCGTTTATGTCATATTTTTCTGCACTTCCAACATCACTTCTCGGGTAAACTAAAATTCCCTTTACTTTTTTACTTTCTCTCGCACTAAAACACAACTGTATGTGGTGTTTTATAAGGAAGTAACATGGTGGACGAAATTACTCAATAGGGGTTTCATAATTTGCATTGTTCACGAAAACTCTACTAAGACGATCAAATGAAAAAAATGGGCAAAACATGAGAATGCAAATGGGAAGACGAGAAATGTATATGAAATATAAGTTGAAAAGGGAGGAGACCACTTAGACAAACAGGGTGTGGGGATGTGCACTGGATTCGACCAGCTGAACACGGGGTCCAGTTGTGAGTTCTTTTGATCACCATCATGAACTTTCGGGTTATATAAAAGGCAAGGAATTTCTTAACCAGCTAGTTATTATCAACTTCCGTGGATGTATACATACTATACCAATAAATCTACGACGTATAAAATAAATCCTTAAGCCAAATGCATGTTCTATAACGTACAGTCATCTCACCTACATTCCCCCTTTTAAGTAGGGGAACATCATGTTAAAATCAAATATCTATAACTATCAGTTGCGGCACCTGATGCAAAGTAAAGTCAAGCTGTCCCTGTAACATGCCGTGAAGGCCCATAGGGTTGTCAGTCGTTCGGGGTCCCACATTATCTAGACAATCGATTCAAAGATGGCGGTAAGGTTGTCAGCCTTACGCGCCGGCCGCGCTTTACTCCCCAGGAAAATTATTTAATTAATTCCTGGTACTCATTTCTGTTAGAGGCTGAGTCTACCCCATGGCCATAGTGCGGCTGGAAGGATTATGTCAATTGAAAAAAAATCCAATGACCTCATCGGGATTTGAACCTGCGACCTTCGGCTTGTAGCATAGTGCCTCAACCAACAATGCAAAGGCGATTTTAAATTATTTTTCTGTTAAAATAAAATTGCCTGTGACATCCCTATCAGTAAAGTGGCCGGCTAGAGCGGAGGGGCTGCATTCGATTCGCGCCGAGGCATGTACGTATATTCTTCCTCCTTATATGTACGTCCAGAATAGATCTGACAGTCACCGAGCAGCATCTCTTACGAATATCCGGGGATCGTTTCCTGAAGGTAAGAAGGTAAAAATAAGTTTCTTACGAAATGTCACAAAGGGCCTCCGACATTGACGGATTCTCTGGACAAACAAGCTAAGCTAAAGACTGGGAACAACAGTAACAAATCCAAACCTGTTTCAAGAGGAATATAACAGGAGACTGAATTCGGGTAATGCTTGTTACCATTCAGTGCACAACCTCTTTTGTCTTCTCGTCTGCTGTCTAAAAGCATAAAAATTAGAATACACAAAACTATAATTTCGTCCGTGGCTCTGTATGGGTGCGAAACTTGGTCTCTGACATAACGGGAGGAACACAGACTGAGGGTGTTTAAGAACAGGGTACTGAGATTATTTGAACCGAAAAGAGATGAAGTGACAGGAGGTTGAAGATAACTGTATGAGGAGCTTCATAACGTGTACTCTTCTCCAAGTATAATTAGAATGATCAAGTCAAGGAGGATGAAATGGACGAATGGCGGAAGAGAAATGTATATAGGATATTGGTGGGAAAGCCAGAAGGAAAGAGACCACTAGAAAGACTAAGATGTAGGTGGGTGAACAATGTTAAACTGGATCTTGGAGAGACAGGATAGGGTGGTATGGAGTGGATCCATCTGGCTCAGGATAGGGACCAGTGGAAGGCTCTTGTGAACACGGTAATCAACCTCCGGGATTCATAAAATGCTGGGAAATCCTTGAGTAGCTGCACAATTTGCGGCTTTTGAAGAAGGGCTCAGCTCCATGAAGTTAGTTAAGTTTAGTTACTTAGTTAAGATGACATAAATGCAGCAGTTTCATATATCTGCAGGAGGGTGCTCTGAGTTCAGGGAGGTCACATGTCATTAACTACTGTTTTCCAAAAACACTGTCACAAAACACAGGAGAATAAACACTGTTAATTCATATCAGAATTCCGCTCTGTGCGATATTCTGCATTGGTGTAAAAATGGGGTTGTTGGGTATGTGAACAAACACAGAATAAGGCCCAATGACGATGAGGCAGACAGCAGCTCATATGCTGTTACAAAACGTGAGCACATATGTGCAATAAGCACTAATTAGCTCACAAAATCTGTGTATCTGCTTAGGTGCTGTCATCTGCAGAGAAAAGCGAAAATGGCACGTGCTCTTCAATGAAGATTCAATTTTCACAGATTGTGTTCTTCCGGGCTTTGGCACCGCGAAGTCTAGCAGTGGTTACCAACGTTCGAGAGGAAACAGCTGCCTTAATCTTTAGCATGAATTTTCAGTTTTTTGCAGTTTATTTTAGAACTGTTACCTGAAATTACAGGGTGTCAAATGTATGTTGATTAGTGGATACTCATTGAAAAGAATGTGGAATGAAGCGACTGTGGCCAATCGAAGTGCTATCACGGAATATGCTTGGAAGAAAAGAACAAAACCAAGAAACACCTCATCTAGGATAACCGGTGTTCCAGCCGAGATCTGAAATGAACACCTATCGAATATAAGCCTGATGCGCTACCGCTACACAAACCTGCTCGCTGCTTTCAGGTGTTACTCACATTCCTCAACAAGCGACCCACTTCCATTTCTTTGAAGCTAGATGGCAATGCATGTTATACACGATGCAGTTCTGTCGGATGAAGCTAGATGGCAATGCATGTTATACACGATGCAGTTCTGTCGGATAAAACTAGATGGCAATGCTTGCTAGAAAGAAGCCATACTTACTGTCATTCTTACATACGCACGAATAAAAGCTGCAAAATGTATGGTACAACCACGTAAAGTATGTGCAATACGTAGCAGATCCACAGCCACTCGAAACAAGCCCACAGCCGACACGCAGTGAAGATGTAGACGGGAGTGGAAGCATAGCTCCATT